GACGAAAACGATTCCCGAGCTCTTCGTGATGTTGAAATCGACGAAGGTAGAAATCAAGAAAGAGCATCAAGTGTTGATGATTGACAAGACCACTAGTTTGAAGAAAAGGGCAAAGGGAAAGAAAGGGAACTTCAAGTAGAATGGCAATCAAGTTGTCACTCCCGTGAAGAAGCCCAAAGCTAGACTAAAGCCTGAAACTGAGTGCTTCTACTGCAAAGGAAATGGTCACTAGAAGCAGAAATGCCCTGAATATTTGGTGGATAAGAAGGATGGCAAAGTGAATAAGGGTATATTTGATATACCGGTTATTGATGTGTACCTTACTAGAGTTTATAGTAGCCCCTGGGTATTTGATACTTGTTCGGTTGCTAAAAAATTAGTAACTCGAAACAGGAGTTACAGAATAAACATAGACTAGTTGAGGGTGAAGTGACGACGTGTGTTGGAAATGGTTCTAAGATTGATATGATCATCGTCGCACACTCCCTATGCTTCTGGGATTAGTGATAAACCTAAATAAATGTTATTTGGCGATTGCGTTGAGCATGAATATGATTTGATCATGTTTATTGCAATACGGTTATTCATTTAAAGACAGATAATAATTGTTGTTGTTCTGTTCACATGAATAAAACCTTCGATGGTCATACACCCAATGAAATAGTTTGTTGGATCTCGATCATAGTGATACACATATTCATAATATTGATGCCAAAAGGTGCAAAGTTGATAATGATAGTGCAACTTAATTGTGGCACTGCCGTTTGGGTCATATCGGTGTAAAGCGCATAAAAAAACTCCATAAAGATGGATTTTTGGAATCACGTGGTTATGAATCATTTGATGCTTGCGAACCGTGCCTTTTGGGCAAGATGACTAAAACTCCGTTCTCCGGAACAATGGAACGAGCTGCTGACTTGTTAGAAATAATACATACCGATGTATGCGGTCCAATGAGTGTTGATGCTCGTGGCGGGTATCGTTATTTTCTGACCTTCACAGATGATTTAAGCAGATATGGGTATACCTACTTAATGAAACACAAGTCTGAAACATTTGAAAAGTTTAAAAATTTCAGAGTGAAGTGGACAATCATCGTAAAAAGAAAATAAAGTTTCTACGATCTGATCGTGGAGGAGAATATTTGAGTTACGAGTTTGGCCTTCATTTAAAAACAGTGTGGAATAGTTTCACAGCTCACTCCACATGGAACACCACAGTGTTATGGTGTGTCCGAACGTCGTAACCGCACTTTATTGAATATGGTGCGATCTATGATTTATCTTATCGATTTACCACTATTGTTTTGGGGTTATGCATTAGAGACAGCTGCATTCACTTTAAATAGGGCACCATCAAAATCCGTTGAGACGATGCCTTATGAACTGTGGTTTGGCAAGAAACCAAAGTTGTCGTTTCTTAAAGTTTTGGGCTGCGATGCTTATGTGAAAAAGTTTCAACCTGATAAGTTCGAACCCAAATCGGAGAAGTGTGTCTTCATAGAATACCCAGAGGAAACTATTGGGTACACCTTCTATCACAGATCCGAAGGCAAGATATTCGTTGGTAAGATGGATCCTTTCTAGAGAAGGAGTTTCTCTCGAAAGAAGTGAGTGGGAGGAAAGTAGAACTTGATGAGGTAACTGTACCTGCTCCTAGAGGCAATAATAAAGTTATTATTTATTTCCTTATTTCATGATAAATTTTTATTATTCATGCTAGAATTGTATTAACCGGAAGCATAATACATGTGTGAATACATAGACAAACATAGTGTCACTAGTATGCCTCTACTTGACTAGCTCGTGAATCAAAGATGGTTAAGTTTCGTAGCCATAGACATGAGTTGTTATTTGATTAACGGGATCACATCATTAGGAGAATGATGTGATTGACTTGAACCATTCCGTTAGCTTAGCACTCGATCGTTTAGTATGTTGTTATTGCTTTCTTCTTGACTTATACATGTTCCTGACTATGAGATTATGCAACTCCCGTTTACTAGAGGAACACTTTGTGTGCTACCAAACATCACAACGTAACTGGGTGATTATAAAGGTGCTCTAAAGGTGTCTCCGAAGGTACTTGTTGAGTTGGCGTATTTCGAGATTAGGATTTGTCACTCTGATTTTCGAAGAGGTATCTCTGGGCCCTCTCGGTAATGCACATCACTATAAGCCTTGCAAGCATTGTGACTAATGAGTTAGTTGTGGGATGATGCATTACGGAACGAGTAAAGAGACTTGCCGGTAACGAGATTGAGCTAGGTATTGAGATATCGACGATCGAATCTCGGGCAAGTAACATACCAAATGACAAAGGGAACAACGTATGTAGTTATGCGGTTTGACCGATAAAGATCTTCGTAGAATATGTGGGAGCCAATATGAGCATCCAGGTTCCGCTATTGGTTATTGACCGGAGATGTGTCTCGGTCATGTCTACATATTTCTCGAACCCGTAGGGTCCGCACGCTAAACGTTCAGTGACGATTTATATTATGAGTTATGTGTTTTGATGTACCGAAGGTAGCTCGGAGTCCCGGATAAGATCGGGGACATGACGAGGAGTCTCTAAATGGTCGAGACGTAAAGATCGATATATTGGACGACTATATTCGGACATCGAAAAGGTTCAGAGTGATTTGGGTATTTATCGGAGTACCGGAGAGTTACGGGAATTCGCCGGGGAGTATATGGGCCTTATTGGGCTTTAGGAGAAAGAGAGAGGGGAGGCTGCGCGCCCCCCTAGTCCGACTTGGACTAGGGGGAGGGGCTGCGCCCCCTCCTTCTTTCTCTCCTTTATTCCCTTTCCTTGACTCCTACTCCTACTACATGGAAGGGAGGGAATCCTACTCCCGGTGGGAGTAGGACTCTCCAGGGCGCGCCATAGAGAGGGTCGGCCCCTCCCCTCCTCTCCTCCTCTATATACTGAGGCAAGGGGCACCCCATGAACACAACAATTGATCATTTATCTGTTAGCCTTGTGCGGTGCCCCTCCACCATATTCCACCTCGGTAATATCATAGCGGTGCTTAGGTGAAGCCTGCGTCGGTAGCATCATCAACACCGTCATTACGCCGTCGTGTTGACGGAACTCTCCCGCAAATCTCTGCTGGATCGGAGTTCGTGGGACATCATCGAGCTGAACGTGTGCTGAACTCGGAGGTGCCGTACTTTCGGTACTTGATCGGTTGGATCGTGAAGACGTACGATTACATCAACCGCGTTGTGCTAACGCGGTCTACGAGGGTACATGGACAACACTCTCCCCTCTCATTGCTATGCATCACCATGATCTTGCGTGTGCGTAGGAATTTTTTTGAAATTACTACGTTCCTCAACATTGGCCTCGGCAAGCGGGCGGAGGAGAGGGATGAGGGTCGCCTGCTGCGCAAACCGTTCATCGAGCCCGCCCATCTGGGCGTGCAAGAGAGAACGATCGGCAACCACCTCACCCCGCTCCCGAAGCTCGTCGCCGATCGCTTTGATGCGCTGACAGAAGACGCCCACCGGGCGGTCGCCCTGCGTGATCGTGCGGAGCTCCGTGTTGAGAACGGAGACCCGAGCATCACGGTTGTCCTGAAAGAGCCGACGAAGTTCGGCCCAGATATCACGCGCGGAAGCGCCATTGGTGACCACAAGATTGAAGAGCTCGGTCGAAATGCGTGTGTATATCCACTGGATGATGGCGAGGTCGTCCTTGACCCAGCGGGGATCGCTAGGAGCGGGAGGCACGTCGCCGGAGATGTCATGCAGGAGAGAGCAACGACCAAGGTGAATCTCAAAGAGATGGCGCCAGTGATAGTAATTGTGGCCGTTGAGGTCAAGAACTATGGGGGTGAAAGGGGTGATGTCGGTAATGGTGTCGCTGAAAGGGAGGGGAGAAGGGAGGACGAGGGTGGAAGAGGGGTGGGTGGCGGAGATAGGAGCGGTAGCCATGGGAAGAGATGGTCCGCCGGCTAGAGGGGCAGTTGGAAGGGGAGGAGGGGGTGGTGGTTCCCGACCGGGGTTGGTCATGGCGAGGAAAGGAGGTAGGGATCGATGTCTGATACCATGTAAAACTGAAGTAATCTAGTTTCTCATTGCTTGATCTGAGATACAGAGAGAGAGGGGTACATATAGCGGCCTTAGCCGGTTCCAAACATGGGCGTAGTGGTGATCGTGGGCAGGAGCGTGGGCGCTCCTGAGCTGACCAAGTCTATCGCCTAACAAGCAGGATGAAGATAATTAACGGATCCATATAGTTGATTATCCATCAAGATCGAATGGGATCATCCTAATGTATACACATTACCTGCCGATGTTGATCTACCCAGATGAGCTAGCAAGAAAAGAGTAGACTTCTGCAGCAGCGAGGAGCATCCAGAGTCTGTCGGCCTCGACCTCGCACCTGCAGCAGCTAGGAGATTGGTTGCTTAAAAGTAGGATCAGGTCAATCGTTTACTCTTCCATCAGTTTTTGGTGGATAAGATGAAGACGAAGATGATCTGTTGCCTACAATTAAGAGAGGCATGAAATTAGTTGGTGAGCCATGCGGGGAATTGAGGAGACGGGGCTGCAATGGTGGGGAGCTCCAACGTTTTTCTTCTTTCGTATAATAAGCGATTGGAACGTTATTTTTAATTAAAAAAGTAGTGACATGGCAACTTTGCTGAGGTGGACGCACGGAATTGGGAACTGAACGCTGATGTGGCATGAAGCTGATGTGGACAATGTGCATGTTAAAAGAATTGATAGTAGTGGGGATCAACTTCTTAAGAATGTAAAATCTGGCCATAAGAGGTTGGCCATGTTAAACATGGCGCCTTCGAAAGCGACGTTGGAAAAACTTCCTAGGGCAACACTAGAGAAAGCCCATAGTTTGTGACACCTGCACCATACATCTAAATGTTATGGGTATATAAAATAACACTCTTAAGTACTCTGATAAAGTATACCCTTACAAGTGCATGGAAACTATTATTCGCCAAAAAAAGTACATGGAGACTATGACAAAGATTATTCATGACTAACATCTCGTGTTGTTGGCACAAGAAGCAGCTTCTCCTTCCGGTGTATCGTCATTCCAAACACTTCTGTCATATCAAGGTCCTTATGCTGCATCCGGCCCGGGAGCTCCCAGTCAAAGCAATAGGCAAGGTTGGCCATCATAATCTCCACGGACGCCATGCCAAAGTTTATCCCGGGACATATCCTTCGTCCGGCTCCAAATGGCAGGATCCCGAAATCCCTCCCCTTGTAGTCGGGGGACGCGGCGTCCTCAAACCTCTCAGGGATGAACTCCTCCGCATCCTCCCATGATCCCGGGTCTCTACCGATGGCCCACACATTGATGATGACACGGGTTTCGGCGGGGACAGTGTAGCCGTTGATGACGCACTTGTCCACGGAGAAGTGCGGGAGGAGGAGGGGCAATGGAGGGTGTAGCCGGAGCGTCTCCTTCAAGACCGCCTTTAGGTAGGTCATGCCGCCCAAGTCGTCCTCCATGACCATTGGTTGGCCCTTGGGTGTCTTGTCCCTTACCTCGGCTTGGAGTTTGGCCATTAGGTGTGGCTTTCGCATGAGCTCGGCCATGGCGAACTCTAGGACTACGTATGACGTGTCCGTCCCAGCTACAAACATGTCCTGCATACATTGATTCGATCTAATTATCTCCCTCCGTCCGGAATTACTTGTCTCATAAATGGATAAAAAGATATGTATGTAAAACTAAAATATGTCTAGATACATTCATTTCGTAGACAAGTATTTTCAGACCGAGGGAATATATGATGAACATTAGGAAGTGCTAGATAGTGCAAAGAGATTCTCTTGGAAATTATGTATTACGTACCACCAAAATAGCCTTGATATGCTGTCTAGTGAGACTGTACTCGTGTTGACGAGCGAGGAGAACGTCCACGAAGTCGGCCTCCTCATCTTCTTGCTGCAGCGATGCTTTGCTGGCATGGTCGTCGATGATCCTGTCGAGCAGCCCGTCCCACCTCTTCCTCAGCCGAGTCATCTTGGGGAACAGCACCCGCGCCAGCGCGTCCACCTTGGCCAGGCTCGGGAAGTAGTCCTGCGGGTTGAACCCCCCGAACGCCGCCACGTTGCCGTCGATCACCTCCCGGAACAGCTCGTTCCGGCCTTCCTCCCGGAAGAACTTGCCGGACACGGCGCGGCACGCGACGTCGTTGGTGAAGGTGGCGAGCAGCGTGGACACGTCCACGGCGGCGCCGGCGGCCGCGGCGTCGCGGATCTTGGCCATGACCAGACATGCCTCCTCCTCGCGACCAGCGCGGAGCGACAGCACCTTCCTGGCGCTGAGCAGGTGCGTGGTGACGAGCCGCCTCAGCTGCCTCCAGAACTCGCCGTAGGGGGCGAAAGCGATGTCGGAGCCGTCAAGGAGCGCGTCGGCGAACGCGCTCTGCGGGCGCGACGCGAAGACATGGTCGTGCGTGCGCAGGACCGCCTCCGCGGCGCCAGGGGTGGTGACCACGAGGTTGCGCACCTGGCCCAGGTGGAGGAGCAGGACCCCGCCGTCGCCGTGCTGGGCGGTGAGCGCCGCGAGCGAGAGGTGGGGGTCGGTGCCGATGAGGTGGAGGTGGCCGATGAGAGGGAGCTTGCTCGGAGGCGCAGGAAGGGGGCGCTCTTCGCCATGGCCCGCCGCCGCAGCCTGCTCGCTCCCCGATCTCTTTGTTTTTGTTGCCGAGTAGTAGAGGAGGAGGACAGGGACGAGCAGGAGATAAAGCGATAGTGCTTGTGGAGATAAGAGTGCTGCCACTAGCTGGGCCGCCATGGTGACAAAGATGTGCATGAACTGGTAAAAGTTTGGAATTATAGCTCGCTGGTGGAGAATTAGCGAGTGGAACCAATCATTCAAGAAAAATAATAATTCAGGAAGATGCGTACGAAGAATCACTAGTGTATCTGGGCTAGCAGCCAGGCAATTTGACTTCCCATTTGGATAAAATAGATAAGGTGACCTCTGCCATAGTGCCATGCAACAATTATGTCAGTGATGACGAGCGTGGTTTGGATAAGGTGAATCTGACTTTTTTGGTCACGCCAACATCTTTGGTGTCTGGTTTGCACAGCAGACGCCAGAACGCATGGCGTTTGGCCCTGGCCCACACTTGCCTAGTTGGCGCTGATGTGGCGATGCGGAGACGCCATCCATCTTGGCGTTTGGGGGAAACGCCATAGCCCTTGGCGTTTGGTCCTACTCCATCACTTAAACAAAGAAAAGGAAAGGCTACATGTACCATTAATGAAGTTGCTTCTATAAAAAAATTCTCTTGATTAACTCCCGTAATTAATGGCCTCATTGATAGCCCAGCCCATGCTAGAGCTAGCATGTATGGTCACCTCATCCTGATTTGGTATCATGCACGCAAAAAGAAAAGGAGAAGAAAATCAAGAGATCTGCCTTGAATTTAAGGGATTACAGTTACAGTATATGAGATGATCTCTTGACCAAATCACCACTTGTTTTTTTCTTCACGAGAATTTGCAAGCTGCTAGAACACACAAACGTAGTCTTCACACATACCCATCTGGCTATGTTTAGCAAAACGAGAGACAATGTCAAAAAAAATCGAAATTCAGGATTCAAACAAAATACCTTGGTCTTGGCGTAGGCATGTCTAGACAACAAATGAAATACTCCTCTGTGTAGGTTTGTTAGAGCATCTACAACTGGACTTGGCAAATCGGACCCCTCAAACATCCGCGAACGCGTCTAGGCGCGTCCGTGGACAGTGACCGGTCATGCCTTAAGAAATGCACTCCACATCCACAGAGTCCGACCGCTGCCGTGCACGGGCCTCCTCCCAGGCGCGGCGGAGTGCAAGTCGGACGGCCATCTCCTCCTCGGGGCCGCGTGAGATAAACTCGGAGTCGACGGATCTGGAGGTGAAGGACTCAGATTCGCTGCCCGCCATGCCAGAGACGGCCGGAAGGAGTCGGAGACGAGCTTGGATGGCAGAGCAGAGTGGAGGGGAGGGGAGTGAAGTGGCTAGGTTTTGTTTCGGCGAGCGGATAGGAAGGAATTGGGGGTCGGGTGCGCCAGCGTGGGCCGGGTCCGACGTGGCGGGCATGCCTAGACGTCTCCATATCCGTCCCATATTTGGCCTGGATATGAGGGGTGCCGGTCAGTCCGGGCATTTGAGGGGGGCACCGTCAATGTGGGCGGCAGACGGATGGACCGGCTGCCGTCGTGTCGTTTGAACGTGGAACATACGCTAGCACCGGGAAGCGGTGCGAGCGGCGCTCTTTCGGTCGGCGCGCTGCTTCAATGATGATGCCAATGAGTGGCCGCGTCCGCTCTGGTCCTCATGAATGCGGACACTGACGCTCTGGATCCACGCTGACCGTTTCGAGCGGGAAGCGTGCACCGGTGAGGGAGGAGGGTTTGGGTGGGCCAGGGATGTCAGAAGCAGGCGTGACAGCAGTCCCGACTCCCGGAAAGCTCCCCCACATTTTTTTCTCTGGTTTGCGAAAGAAAAAGCATCGGGACCACGCCGTGGACCGATACAGGACCATGTTGGATGAATTCTTTGTCAAACAACACGGTCCAGACGGTTACAGAAGATTTGAGGGTCAGCGTTGGAGATGCCCTTATAATAGGCTAACAACCGCAGATATTACAGAAAAGTAAATCATCATGCGATTAATTAATTTAAAACCGGATCACCATATTAATCTCCTAAAAATCTGCTCCATCTCACCCTCACGGCTCATCCAAAGTCGATCCGTACAGAAAATTTGTCGCCATTGGTTGCATTTAGGTGCGGGTTAATTCGTTTTGCAATGATGGTTAGCAGGCTTTTAATTATGGGAGTAATTAATCAAGAGAATTGTTTATAGAAGCAACTCCAGTAATGGTGCATGTAGCTTTTTTGGTTTAAGTGATTGAGTAGGACCAAACGCCGAGAGCTATGGCGTCTTCCCCAAACGCCAAGATGGATGGCGTCTCCACATCACCACATCAGCGTCAACCAGGCAAGTGTGGGCCAGGGCCAAACGCCACGCACCCTGGCGTTTGCTGTGCAAACCAGACGCCAAAGATGTTGGCGTGACCGGAAAAGGTCAGATTCAAAAATCTTTTCAAAACGAAGTCAATTCGTGATTAAGTTCACAGCAAAGGTCAGAACAAAAATTTTGTCCTCTCCCTGTTCCAACGATTACTCGTCGGAGCTGGATTCATCGACGTGACTGATGGGCACCGGCGGCGGTACCAGGAGGCAATCTTTCCTTAAAAAACAAAATGTTAGGAAACCTAGGAGTCAACTCGCGTTAGCAGCCCTGTGATATTTATTTATTTATTTATTTTGTATCTACCCTGTGATAATTTTCTAAACACCACGATCTAAAATATAGTTTTTTTTAATAAAGTATAGACGCAAACGCTCATATACACGTGCATACACTCACCCCTACGAACGCACACACGCACACTTTGCCCCTATGAGCACCTACGAAAGACTGAGCTGGCATATCATGGGCTAGGGATTCCACAATCTCTCTAACCATCCAACCACAGGTTGGTTCACCGGCCTAAAATATTAGCTATACAAGATGATAGCTTGCGTGTTTTTTTAAGGTGAAAGGGAGTTTTATTCCAAAATTATAAAGTTACATTGCAAAGGTGAGAATTCCTCACTATATGGAGGCCCTTTGTATTGCCGAATAGCAATGTTGCATTCAGTACAACTATAGCTAAACTATCTGTCACAATATTACGAGAACAATAAAGCTTTTGCGGAATAAAGTCCTGAACCTGTCATAAGGCTAGAATCTCCAACTGCAGGTGTCGTCATATATCTCTGTGAAATTTGATCGACGAAATATGAATATTTTAATTAATAAAATATGTACTAAAAATACATATCATATTGTAATTAATTTTTGTATAGTTGGACAAATTTTATTGAACATAAGTAGCATGCATATAACAAAGTGATTTTTTTTGTTCATGCATCTTGAGGTGGGCCTTTGATGAAGTAGTGTGAGATGTATAACATCGAAAACAAAGCAACGTAGCCTCGTTGCGTACCTGTTCGCCTCTTCTCTCGTTAGTCAAAGGTTGACTAGGGTCTCGCCTCCTGCCAGCGGTGCCGCATGTCTACCTCGTCTTCCATGACCTTAGGCCATGGAGGCGCGATGGATCTCGATTCTTGCCGGTGGAAGGGCTCCTTCATTTTTAGGTATCCTTTTGTGTTTGTTTAGAATCTGTGTACTGCTCAGGAAGACGAGGCAACGTCGACTCCCTTAAGATGAAATAAGGCTCTTTTGCCTAGCCCCCGTTCCGGTGGTGTGGCTAGTGTCGTCGAAGGGCATGTGGAGGTGTCTCCGATAAATGTCATCGGACTTGGTCGGTGTTTGTCTTCGGTGGATTCACATCTTCGTTCGTCTATGTTTGTGTGCATACACATTGGATATTTATGATCTACGTTCCTCTTCATTGGCTTTGGCGATGGTTGCTACTCTAGTGCGTTGGTCCTACGTCTTAGCACAACGACTTTTGACTGTCCAGTAGAACAAGGTTTGCCCAGCTCTAGTAACGGAAGGGAGATAATGGCGGGTCGTCTTCGGCTCGCTTCAGTGTTTATAGTCATCGCTAGATGATCTACGAATGAAGATGTAAT